ACAGAGGGGCACCCAAGGAAACCTGCTATAAAAGATAGACATCCATCCCCTTTTCAGAAGTGAAATGAAGCAGAATTACATACCATATTTTTTGGAATATAAGACCTTTCCCCCCTAAAAGAGTGTGGAAATGTTGGTGCATCTTATATACTGAATACAGCCATTTTTGGCCTCCCAAAACCCTGCTCCGCATCCCATTTTTGTGAAAAACGGGATAAAAATGGGCCGTTTTTCGCAAAAAGTTAGGTGTTTTTGCCTTCCCCCAGTTCCCAGAAGCACTCTGCAGGCTTCAGCAGGGCTGGGGGAAGGCAACAACGGCTCCATTTGTGCAAAAAATGACCCATTTCTGCCCATTTTTTGCAAAAACAGAGGTGTTTTTGCCTTCCCCCAGCCCTGCTGAAGCCTGCAGAGTGCTCCTAGGGGCCAGGGAGAACAGAGACTGTTTTTCTTACCTCTTCGAAATCTTGGTGCGTCTTATATACCGGAGAAGAAATTAAACAATTCTTCTGAGATTCTTTTCCCCATTCTACTCTTGCCAAATTCCTAGCTAGTGTGTGAAAGTCATTTTTCCTAGATTACTGTTTTGCTTTAAAATATTATAGCGTAGAGACAATTCAGATGAACATGTTAACCAGACTAGTTAAAACGCTATAGCTTTATCTGCACAATACACTACACTTGCTTATTTTTCAGTTTGGTTAATTTTTGATGGTTTAGCATATTGGGTTAATCATTCATTCATTCATTCATTCATTCATTCATTCATTCATTCATTCATTCATTCATTCATTCATTCTTTTCTTCATTTAGTTTAGATCAAAAACATAGGAACATTTAAAAATAAGCATATCATAATTACCCAGAAAGACTTTAAAGAACAATAAGACATTTCACAGGAGTTCAACCACCACTCTGCCCCAAAGCTTGATTAGATTAATTAGATTTAAAAAGTTGGAAGGGACCTTCTAGGTCATTTAGTCCAACCCTCCACCCAAGCAGGAGACCCTACACCATTTCTGACAAATGGCAGTCCCGTCTCTTCTTGAAAGCTTGAGAGTGTAGCTATGTTTTCCATGACATTTTACACAATATCGAGGTGGAATTAGATGAATCTCTGGAGTGTAAATACAGGTATATCCACAGGTATAAAGGTGTATAACTCTATAAAAGGAACTCTCACCCCTTTGATGATTCAAACAGAATTCGGTTTTAAAGGTTTCATGAAGTAGATCAGCCATGACCCACCCAGGTTGAATAACTGTGTCCAATGCATAGTGCACATCCGGAAAGAAAGTTAATTCAATAATCAAGTTAAGCACCTACTCTTTAGTAGTCGAAAGAGGGGAAAAAACAGGTAACAGTATGGAAACGATACGTTCTGCGAAAGGTCATACAAACAACTGGTATAATACAATGGCACAAAACAACTTCAGAGAATTGCAACTTAATCTTTTTCCCCAGCTGAGCACCAGGTCATTTTTTCCCCTGACACAAAGATCTATAAAGCAGGTTACCTGTCACTTGATCTAATCAATTTAATTCGAAGATTCAAAGACTCTAAATAAATCATCCTCTTAAATCGAAGAGCAAACTTGTCCCACCAATTTTATCCCCTCCCTCCAGTTTAGAAACAGGCGGCTGAATCTTGAAACCCCTTTAAGTTAGAAGCAAAGGAGGCCGTTGACATTTGAAAGCGATCCACCTCAAGGAACACACCCCAAATTCACTTTCCAGGTAAGTATTTGTTTCCACTTGCAAGGTCAAACTCACAAAGCCTATAGCAGTGGTGGTGAACCTTTTCGGCACCGAGTGCCCAACCCAGAACATGTGTGCATGAGTGTGCATATGTGTGTGCTGGAGTGCTGGAAATCCAAACACCAGCTGGCTGGTGCGCACATTCCTGTTTTTTGGGCATTGTTTGGGATGTTTTCAGGCCATTTTTTTAGCTGTTCTCAGGCTGTTTTCTTGCCCCAAAATGGCCTGAAAATGATCCCAAAATAGCCTGGAAAATGGCACAGAAAATGGCCTGTTTTTTGGCCATTTTAAGGCTATTTTATGGAGCTCCAGTGCACATGAAGACCAGCTGGCTGGCGCGCAAAAATGCCCCCCAAGTGGCCTCGGTTTTGGCTGTTTTTTGGGGCATTTTCTGGTGCTCAGGCACCCACAAAGACCAGAACAGCTGGTGATGGCAGCCACGCCCACAGAGAGGGCTTTGCATGCCACCTCTGGCACCCATGCCATAGGTTCGCCATCACGAGCGTACAGCCACATGGTAGAGATTTATGATATGAGGAAGCACAGTTTGAAAGAAGAAGAATCACAAACACTTCATTGAATAACTTTTCCCCTCTCTGTCCTTTGTTTTCAAGTTTCAGTCTGATTTTTTTTTTATCATTTTAAACTTCTGGAACGTCCCAAAACTTCCTAAATCTCATGCGAGGATGAATCAAGATAACAGCATTTTTATGTACAGGAAAGAAGGATCAATGTGCTGAAGATGTGCCATCCCAATATTTCTGTGAGATACTTCACCTGGAAAAGGTTGAACTTGCCAATATGCATTTTTCTTTGAGTGGATAGTTAAAGGTATTGGTAATTGGCCAAAATGAGACCCTTGCGTAATTCAGGAAAATATTGAAAATATAAAACAAGAAATGAGTTGGAAGTTTAAGTACTGTACATGCTTAGGAATTGTGACTGAGCAAGAAAAAGCAATAGACTTATAAGAGCTAAGCAAAGCTTAGAATTTTCTCTGCCCCAACCCAAATTTTATTAACTTTCCTGCCTGAAAAGATAAAAGAAGGAAGAAAGGAAGAATAAGAAAGGCCAGGTTTTCACAAGTTCAACATTTCTTGATACTCCACTATACATTTATTTAGACTTTAGAGAAACAACATACAGTAATTCGTAACCTGATTAACTTTAAACTTGCAACTTCGTATATGAACCAGTTATTACAAAGAAACTGTCTTTCACTCTGCAAAATCTGGGTGTTTCCAGACCAAAGACCAAGCCTCATCACCTTGCTCCAAATTTGCATTTCACAGGGAGTAAATAAATATTTTTTATAAATCCAATAAATAAAATAACAAGGGGTTCAGCTGATAACGTCCTCTGTCACTCTCCCACTTTCCTGTTTTATGCCCCCTGCCCTCCACCCGATCCACAAAGGAGAGAAAAATCATTGTTATAACTTTGAATGATCACTAAATGGACTGTTAGAAGTTGAGGATTACCTTTATAGACTCACTTTGCTTCTTTTGGGGTGTGGATGAGGATAATTCTGACGCCCAACTTAACCCTGGGTGAAATAACTAAATATTTGCCTGACTATTCTGTCTCTCAATGCCCCTCCTTCTCTGCATGCCTTATAACCCCCCCCCACCCCCCCGGAAGTATGCAGGAATTTGTACACATACTATAATTGGTGGAAAGATCAAAATGAGTTTCTGGAAATAATTATCAATGTGGCAGTGAGAGAGAAAACTGACATGTTTGATGTTGGAATCTTCACATTTTCATCCCATTATAATGCATACCGTTGTCTATTGCTGCATCATTTTAAAGGCCTGGTTTGCACGTGTATCTCTGTTTGTATAGTCCTTGGAAGTAGAGCCCCATAGAAATGTTAATTAATAAAAGATTGAGTATTATCTACTATGCATTAACAATGTCTTCAGCGTATGCCCACTTCTACACTTTTCAATTAGCACTAGAATTAACCTGGTGTTGACTTTTCAGGTATGCGCAGAAGGAAAACACAATTCAATGACTCTCAGAAACAGGCACAACCTGGTACCTGTTCATATTAGTTTGTTTCAAATATTTTCTTTTCTACCTGTTCTGTCACTTTTCATTTTCTTTCGGTCAGCACCCTGGACAGCAGTCTATCTGTCATATCTTCCTTCCCTTCCGCTCACAGCAGAATAAGAATGAAAAATTAAAAATTTAAGGGTGTTTCCCCGCCTTTCTTTCTTTGGAAAAAAACCTGTTGTTCATCAGGGATACCTGGTCAGATATAACCAATGAGAAAGGATACTGGATAAATTCTTGAGTTACTGTAGGGAGTGGTTGAACTCATTCCCCGGGCTAAGACCATCCTGTTGAATTGCAGTGGCTTAAACCCAGTGGTGGGTTTCAAAAAATTTTCGAACCTACTCTGTGGGTGTGGCCTCCTTTGTGGGAGTGGCTTGCCAGCCATGTGATCTGGTGGGAGTGGCTTGCCGGCCAAGTGTGTGTTTTCTCTCTCTCTCTCT